TCTTATTTATAATCATAGTATATACATAATTGTTTTTTTCTTTTTCTTATATGTATTTACTTAAATAATGTGAGATACAAATAAAATAATACACACACGTGACATGCATGTTTAAAAAATTACTCAAAAAGGAAATTTTATTTTGTTTTTTTGAAATCCTTTATATATTTATTTTCCTTTCCTTACAATGAAAAAAAAAAAAAACTTAAAAATAAACAACAAATCAATAATTAAAAATAATAATAAAAAAAAGTGAAACATATACAGAGAATCAAAAAAAATTTTTTTTTTCCTTATTTTTAAACAATTATTATTATTATTTTTTTTTAAATTTTCTAAAAAAGTACATAATTTTATAATAAATTATTTTAAAATAAACAATAAATTATATATTTGAACCAACTTAACTGTAAATTAAATAATTATAAATCATATATAAACAATGTCCAGTGTTAAAGCTAATATTCCAGAAATCGGTATTTCTGAATTACCAAACCAAGTATATAAAAAAATCTTAACTAATGCTAGTGAATATAATGAACAAACTTTAAACTTAATGATTGTTGGTGAGAGTGGGTTAGGTAAAACAACTTTTATCAACACACTTTTCCAAACCACTTTGAAACCAAAACAAGGTGCTTATGAAAGAGAAGGTGTTGATGAATTTTCTAAAAAAAGTAGCAATAAAACAACAAGCATCGAAATTATTAGATGTTTACTAGAAGAAAAAAATTTTACTTTGAAATTGAACTTGATTGATACTCCAGGGTATGGTGATTTCATTAACAATAGCAAAGCTTGGTTGCCATTGTGTGATTTTGTAGATGAACAATATGATCATTTTATGAGACAAGAACAACAACCATTCAGAAGAGCTAAATTTGATTTGAGAGTCCATGCTGTCATTTTTTTCATTAGACCAACTAATGGTACTTTGAAACCACTAGATGTCATCACAATGAGAGAATTGAGTAAAAAAAGTAATTTGATCCCTGTAATTGCTAAATCTGACACTTTAAATAAAGAAGAATTGATACAATTCAAGGCCAAAATTAGAAAAGTTATTGAAGAACAAAATATTCAAATTTTCACACCACCTATCTTTGAAGAAGAAAACAGTTTTGCTGCCGGTGATGAAGATGCTGCTAGCAACAACAGAGCTGCTATTCAGCATGCCAAGCAATTGGTTGAATCCATGCCTTTTGCTATAATCGGATCTGAGGAGCAATATGAAATCAATGGTAACAAAGTATTTGGAAGAAAATATCCTTGGGGATTGATTGAGGTTGAGAATGAGACTCATTGTGATTTTAGAAAACTAAGATCTTTACTATTGAGAACTAATCTATTAGATTTAATTCACTCAACTAATGATTTCCATTATGAAGTTTACAGAAAGACTAGATTACAAGCAAACAATGAAGAAAATAATACTAATACTAATAACAACAACAACAAGGGAATTAACATCTTGCCTGCCCCTGTAAGAAAAATGTCTCATAATCCAAGATTTAAAGAAGAAGAACTTGCTTTGAAAAGATATTTCACAGAACAAGTTAAAGTTGAGGAACAAAGATTCAGACAATGGGAACAAAATATTGTCAATGAAAGAATCAGATTGAACAATGATTTGGAGGAAGAGCAGAATAAAGTTAAGAAGTTAGAAGATCAAATAAGAGTATTACAAATGAAATCAAAATAAGAAAATAAACAAACAAATAATTAATCAAATAATATAGAATATATATATATAACTCTTTATAACAATATTAAAAAAAGAAAATGCAAAAGTAAAAAAAGAACGTTTATTTCTTTATTTATTTATTATTATTATTATTTTTTATTTTTATATTTTGTTATTTAAAATTTCTTTAAGAACAATAAAATTCAAACATATATACATTACTTATTTATTTAATCGTTTATTTAATCAGCTATTTACTTGTATTACCATTTTCATTTGCTTTTTTAAAGATCTCTTAGAATATTTATTCAAATTGAGATAACCATTGTTCAGCATCCAAAGCAGCCATACAACCAGAACCGGCAGAAGTGATGGCTTGTCTGTACTTAGAGTCTTGAACATCACCAGCAGCATAGACACCTTCAACAGAGGTTCTAGCAGTACCTGGAATAGTCTTGATATAACCATTGTCTTCCAAGTCTAATTGGCCTTTAACAATATCAGTGGCTGGAGTGTGACCAATGGCATAGAATAAACCATTGACAGGTAAATCATATTCTTTATTTTCCTTATTTTGCAAGACTTTCAAGTGTGTCAAGAATTTACCATCACCCAAAGCTTCAACAGGGTTGTGGTTGTATAAGATTTCGATTTTTTCATTATTTTCGACTCTCTTTTGCATGATAGTAGAGGCTCTTAAATGATCCTTTCTGACAACCAAAAAGACTTTGGAAGCATATTTGGTTAAGAAATTGGCTTCTTCACAAGCAGAATCACCACCACCAATAACAGCTAAAGGCTTATTTCTAAACATTGGAACAGCACCATCACAAACAGCACAAGCAGAGATACCCTTTTGCCAGTATTGTTCTTCACCAGGCAAATTCAATCTCTTGGCAGAGGCACCGGTGGCAAGGATGATAGCATCAGTTAAGATAGGTTCTTCATCCTCACACCATTCTGGCCATAATTTGAAAGGTCTGGAAGAAAGATCAACTTTAGAGATAGTTTCAGTGATGATTTCACAACCGAATTTGAGATTTTGTTCTTTCATCTTATCCATCAATTCAGAACCAGTCATACCATCTGGGAAACCAGGGAAGTTTTCAATTTCAGTGGTGGTTGTTAATTGACCACCAGCAGCGATACCATTGGCCATCATACCTTCGTACATGACTAATGGTTTAATTTCAGCTCTACCCAAGTAGATACCAGCAGTGTGAGCGGCTGGACCAGAACCAATGATTGTAACTTTGTTGTGTACCATTTTATAAGTTTGTCTTTGAATTAGTATATTATTATATTGTAAGTTTCTTACTGGTTTGTTTAAAATATTTATTAAATTATTAAACATATATATTAAAAAAATAAAGAAATAAAAAAGATAAATTTAATAAATAAAAAATATATTTATTATCCTCTTGTTTATATATTTTATTTTCATAAAATATTATGATAAATAGATAAAAAAAAAACATAAAAAATTAGAAAACTGCCGTTTAGTAAATAATAAAGAAATATATTCACTTATGTAATTTTTCTTTCATAATTGATGTTTTTTTTTTTTCTTTCTCTCTCTCTTTTCTTAATTTAAGCGAGAATCTAGGTTTTTGTTATGTAAGTATATATGTGTGTTATTTTTTTTTTGGGGCTAAAGATTCTAGAGAAATGGCAAAATCCGAGATTAGGTAAAAAAAAAAAAGATTCTAGAATTTATATTTTTTTTAAATTTTTAAATTTTTTTTAATTTTTTTTTGTTCTTATGGGTTAAAAAGTTGTAATAAATTTTATATTCTATCGGATATAGATGATAAGACAAGAAAACATGAGAACCTAATAAACTAAGAAGTTAAAAAAAAAAAACAAAAAAATTAAAAAAAAAACTCCGGTCTTTACTACATAAATTATTTAGAACATTTATATTATCATATTTATTATTGTTATCCTATTTAAAGTATTTAAGATATGAAATGAAGTTATACTTATCTTGTTATATATACATATATATATATATATAAGATCTAGTTTTGTTGATTTTGGTATATTTATAATGTGTATATTTATGTATTGATAATATTAGTATTGTCACTGTTATCATTTACGACTACTTCTTTATGCTTTATATTTAACCAATGCTTGAAAATACTCTCATCAAACATCTCACAAAGACTCTCATCTAACATTAAATAACACAGAAAATATTCTAGCCCTTGCTGTCTCTTCATCAAAAAATCAGAATCTAATGTATTATTAATTAAGTAGTCATGAAGAGTTAAAGCTTTATACCAAGGTAACGCTCTTGGAAGTTCAGGTAAAATTATATCTTTTTGATTTCTTCTTTTTTGTAATCCATTTTCTACTTTATTTCTTAATGAAACAAATTCAGAGTATCTCTTATAACAATAGTGAACATCATTGTTTGCAAAAGTTACTCTAACTGTCCATTTAACAAATGGAGCGCCATTAGTTTGATTTGATCTTGCTGATTGTAATGTTCCTTCAACTACTTCAATATTTAGATATGGACATTTATTAAATTTCTGCCTTTCCTCATAAGTATCTTTTTTTGTTTTTATATCTTGTGTTTCAATAATTATAATATCTGAGTTATTCAAAAGTTTACTAGAGTTTCTTTCATCTGAAGATACTATAGATTCTGATGGATCATCTATTATTTTTAATAGTTTTTTTTTAGAACTTGTCAAAGAGGAGCTATTTGCAGTAGCATATTTATTAGGTTTATTGGCGTTTGTTTCTAAATTAGTGGAAGAAGAAGGTGTAATTGAATTACTATCACCTAAACGACTAGAAGTGTCTGTCATTTCATTCAATTTTTAATAATTTGTTCTATCTTTTCTATAAGATAATGTATTTAAAGAAAGAAACAGAATATTTATTAATACAATTTATATATATATATTGATGTATAATAAAGCTTGGTTTATTTAAAATAATAAAATTGAAAGTATATTTATCTTTCTTTTTATTTTTTTTTAAAAAAATATATATTCCAAGGGGTTTTTTTTTTAATAAAATGATCATACATTTTTTTTTTTCTTAAAATATATATAAAAAAAAATATATATTCCAATAATTTCGCGTTAACTTATCAATAACTTCTAAATATAATATATATTACTACAAATTATTTCAAAAAAAAAGAAAAAAAAAATATATATATAAAAAAAAGAAATATATATCATCATCATTATAACTTTAATTTAGCAAAATTAACGTTTATTTTTCAAAAAAAATAACATACTATCTAAATTAATTAACTTATTAATTAATATTAAATATAAATATTATGAAAATTTGCTAAGACGGGGAATCGAACCCCGACCAACGGTATGGAAAACCGTGATTCTACCATTAAACTATCTTAGCTGAGTGTATTTTATATGTTTTGTTTAGTTTTTGGAATCTATTTACTATGATGGACCCAAAAACAACAAAAATGAACATTAATCTTGATTTATATCATAATGTTTATATTATAGCAGTGTACAAAAATAAGGATATTTATAAAATACAAGCCTTAACAATTAATTGATCACACTTCTTAAGTTTTTGTTCTATTTTTTTGGACTGTTTTTTAAAAAAAAAAGAAAATGCATTTATTTATATCTTTTAAAGAGATATTCACGTGATATATCTATATTTTATTCTTTGTTTCTCTACTTATTTAGTTTTTTGTAATTTTTTTTTTTTCTGTACTTTAATAAACACGTACTCAAATATATATATATATTTTTTTTTTTTAAAAAAAGGGTATAAATATAAAATACCCTACAAAACATATAAATAACCATCTATTACTATTTAATATAATGAGCAGAGTTGTCGATGTTACAATTGGGAAACATGATTCTTCAATTACTTATTTAACTACTTCCGATTTTAAAGTATTAGAGTTTCCATCCTCTTTACTTCCAGATAACATAAAGACAGGTGCAGTTCTAAAAATACAAATTGATTTTAATGAATCCTTAACCAAAGAGACTAACAATAAATTTATTGACTTCCAAAACAACTTGTTAGACAAAATATCAACTTTCAAACCTAAAAAACCGGAATTATTTGTCAAGACTAAGTTACCTACAAGTATAACTTTGGCATGGGAACCTTTAAATTTGGGTATTGCCAAACTAAAAAATGTTTCATTATGGCATAAGTCCTTAAGTCCAAATTTCAGTGTTTCTTCAGAGACCGTTGATGAGGAAGAACAAGAAGCTTTCAGTGTTGAAGAAGTAGATGAGGAAGAACTTTCTCAAATAGCTACAATCTACAACATTCAAAATAGAACTTATAAATTGACAGGTTTGAATATAAGTTCTAAACATGTTTTCCAACTACGAATCGATACTTCCAATGGTATTTATTCATCCGAAATGATGTTGGCTGAAACACTTTCATCTAATGATTTGTCAGGATTTAATATCTGTGTTGGTGCTTTATCTGATGGCAATACCACATTTGACGATATTAAAGCTGTTGCTGATGCACTAAGCATTTCTCAATTAAGCAGACAGTGTAATGAAGATACTACCCATTATATAACTGATACTGTTGATGATGAGAATGAGGAGCATGATTTACAATTGAATGTTGCTAAAAACTTGAATATTCCTATTGTCAAACCAAATTGGTTGCAAGGTTGTTTGAAAGAAAAACAATTGTTGGGTGTTAAGAAGTTTTACTATAAACTAGATAAAGATGATAAAAATAATTTGTCTGAACAATATCCATTTGAAAAGAGTCTTACAGAAGATTATTTAAGAACGATTAAAGTAGTCGAACAACAACAAGAAGAAGAAGTAAAAGAATCAGAAGAAGCTAGAAAAGAAGAGGAAGAAGTAAAAGAGGAAGGTGTAGAGACTGCTGCTGAAAAAAAAATACAAGAACCAGATGCTGAGGAATTTGTTTTAGAGAAAAAAGAAGATGAAGAAGTTGGTGAAAATCCTGTTTTAAAAGAACAGCAACAACAAATAACTGAAGAGTCAGCTCTTACAGAAACGGTCGATGGTTCAGCTAACAAAGAAACACCAGAAGAAGAAATTATTGAGAAACCGGCTGAGGTAGAAACTGTTTCTGATATTGCTGAAGCAACTGTAACAGAAGCTCCGATAGAACACCCATTAGAAGAAATAAACGAAACTGAAAACATAAAAAAAGAAGATGAAGAAAAACAGGAAGAAGAAGTACCTTTGACTGAAGATCCAGTTACTAAGTTATCTACTGAAAAGGCTAACATAATATCAGAAACACCAGAAGTTAAAGAACAAAGTCTAACCGATATTCCTACAACTGATGACAATGTTGATCCAAGTGTACCAGAACATAAACAAGATTCATCATTAACTCCATCTTCATCAACATCTTCTAAAAAAACAAATAAAAAAAATAAAAATAAAAAGAAATGATTCAAGGAAACAATAATATAAATACTAATTTTTAACTTAAAAACAATCTTATATATATATAACTAAATTATCCATTTTTTTTTAAAAATCAAGTTTTATTTATTTTTAACTCTCTCTCTCTCTTTTATTTTTTTCATTATAAATTTAATAAAACTAATTTCATCTATTCACCAACTAACTTCTTGACTTTCTTCAAAACACTATCTTGTTCTGGATCGTATGGATGATCCTTTGATGGGATTTCTAAAATAGCAGGGAATGCATCTGTGAAAGAATCAATTTCAGATCTAATTAAATTAGCAATATGTTGGTTTATAAGGATTAAAGCAATATCTTTTCTCTTGGTAGTGAATGTTTCAAAAACCTGTAGTAGTTCTTCACTAGGAGTTTTATTTTCATTGTAAATATAAAAGTTCTTACCCTCTGTTACATCTTTGTTACCATTAGTTTCTTCAGCTATAATATTAGCTTCATCAGTGATACTAGTTTCTGGAACTGCACCAATACCAGCCAATAAGAAACCAGTAGTAGTATCTTCATCACCAATAACAGCAACTAATGTTCTTTTACTTTCAACAGACATATAGATTATATATATGTTAATATTTGACGGTTTATTAATATACGTTTATTTACTAATTGTTTTATGTATATATAGATTATAAATATTTATCCTTTAAAATTTTCTTACAACCAAATATTTTTTTTTTTGTTTTTTTTTACAACAGCAAAAGTTAAAGGAACAAAAAAAAACACACTACAAAAAAAAAAAAAAAAAACAACTTACTCACGTGAATAAACTCTAAAAAAAATGCCCAAAGAAAACATAGACATTGAAATCCGTTTAAAAGGTAAATAACAAGCTAAAATATTTTTATAAGTTGTAATTAATTTTTTTTTTTTAAAATTTTGTATTTAACCAAGCTAAATAAACTTCTTTTATAGTACATATATAAATTGTTTTAATGTAAAAAAGAATCGGTTGAATAAATTACAACCATATATATATTTTTTATTCTTCTTGAAATTTTTAAACGATTTTTTATTCATCTTTTAAATCAGTATCAATAACACTCATGATATTTTCTTCTTCATGTCCATCAATTGTTCCATTAATAACTTCTTGAATCTTTTTAACTTCTTCTTGTCCTTTGTTTTCCTCTTCTTCTTCTTGTTGTTGTTGATGTTTTTCCTCTTCCTCTTCCTCTTCCTCTTCTTCTTCAACTCTATGTTCTTTAGGTTCGCTTACTTCTTCATCAATATTCAATAAATTATCTTCTTCAGTTGGTTGAGCGGTGGCAACAATAGCAGAAGCAACTTCAATTTCACCATCACCACCATTGCTCTTTTCAGTAGTAACTTGTGCTTCAACAGGTTCTTGTGGTTGTGGGAAAAATTCTTGACCTGTAATATTGTCAACAAATCTACAGTCAAATTCTTTTTTGATACATCTAGTACATGGGTAAGATCTAGAACAAGCTTGTTTATCCTTTCTACATCTCAAACAAGACAATACTTTTCTTTTTCTTCTCTTTTTGTTACCATTATCTTTCTTTTGACCTAAAGCTTCAGCTTTTCTTTTTTTTCCAGCACCACCATTCATTTCTATTATGGCTTCAGTAGATGCTTCAATACTGTTTTTGTCTCCCAAAACATTGATCAAGTCTTCGTTCTTTTCAAAATCAATCTTTTTGTAGTTATCTTCCTTTTGTTCTTTTACTTCTTTAACTTCATCATCTTTTTTGTCTTCATTAGAAGAAGCAAGAGCAACAGCGGCAGCAGCAGCAGCAGCTTCAACAGCAGAAGAAATAACATCTTCTTTATCTTCTTCTTCTTTTTGTTTTTTGGCTTTTGCTTCTTCTTCTTCTTCTTGTTGTTGTTGTTCTTGAGTTTTAATTGCTTCCTTTTCAGCATCTGCAGCAGCAGCAGCAGCGGCTTCAGTAGCAGCTAAAACAGCATTAGCATCAGCTGTAGTATTAGTTTCATTTTCTTCATCTTCCTTCATAAAGTCATTAAAGACATTGTTTTCATCTAGGTTTTGGTTTTCATCACTCATTTTTGTGTTTCAATGGTATTTATATATGTAGTAAATTAGTATTTTTTTAAATATTGAATATATTATTCTTTTTCTAAATTATTAATTTGCTCTGGTTTAAATGTTTTTTGTATATTCTTTATCTCCTTTTGATTAAACTATTTTTTCACTTCTTGCTTAACTCCTGCTCCGACAAGTTAAAAAAAAAAAAAAACAAACAAACCTTGTTTTGATTTTTTGAATGGATTCTTTTTCATAGATGTTTTTTTTTATTTTTCCAAAAAAAACTATAAAAAAAATTTTTTTTTTTTGTCGGAGAAAATTTTTACTTTTCCATATATCTTTTTTTTTTTTTTTTTTGTTCACACTTTTTTTTTAAAAAACAAAAAACAACAAAATTAAGATTCGGGTTGTATTGTATTTTTTTATTTTATTTCTCTCGGTTCTAGAATATATTTAGTAGATTAGGACAAAACGTGAGAAAAAAAGAAATTGTTTTTCTTTTTTTTTTTTTTAATGAAAAAAAAACCAGTTCGGGTAAAATAAAAAACGCGTACATAATATATATTTCATACATAAATAATCAATTTAATAACTTCATAAACTCTGAAAATTCTAAAGTATCAATATCAGTCATTAAATCTTTAAAATCTAATCCATTTTCATTAATATTAATGTAATTTCCTGGTGTTAAAATAACAGGCGTTTGATTATTTACATGCATTAAAGAAGGTGTATTATTTTCACTACTTTTTTTGTTTAAACAAAAAGTAATATCTTTATTACCTTGATTTCTGTCCTGAATAGTTACACTTTGATCTTTATTGATTTTAATATTTTCTAGTAAAAAAATCAATTCATCATAATTTTTTATTGAATAATCTTTGTTAAACAAAAGACCAACTGCTGCTTTCAGTTTAGTAGCAAAA